CCCCCAGGAGTGAACACAGCACCCCCAGGAGTGAACACAGCACCCCGGAGTGAACACAGCACCCCCCAGGAGTGAACACAACGCACCCCGGGAGTGAACACAGCACCCCCCGGGAGGAGTGAACACAGCACCCCGTGAGAGTGAACACAGCACCACACAGCACCCCCAGGAGTGAACCACACACCCCCGGATTGAACACCCCGGGAGTGAACACAGCACCCCCGGGAGTGAACACAGCACCCCGGGAGTGAACACAGCACCTCCAGGAGTGAACACAGCACCCCCGGAGTCCAGGAGTGAACACAGCACCCCCAGGAGTGAACACAGCACCCCCAGGAGTGAACACAGCACCCCCAGGAGTGAACACAGCACCCCCAGCACCCCCCAGGAGTGAACACAGCACCCCCAGGAGTGAACACAGCACCCCCAGGAGTGAACACAGCACCCCCAGAGTGAACACCACCCCCAGGAGTGAACACAGCACCCCGGGAGTTGAGCACAGCACCCCGGGAGTGAACACAGCACCCCGGAGTGAGCACAACACCCCGGGAGTGAACACGGGACAACGGGGAGTGAACACAGCACCCCGGGAGTGAACACAGCACCCCCAGGAGTGAACACAGCACCCCGGGAGTGAACACAGCACCCCCAGGAGTGAACACAGCACCCCAGGAGTGAACACAGCACCCCCAGGAGTGAACACAGCACCCCGGGAGTGAACCACAGCACCCCCAGGAGTGACACAGCACCCCGGGAGTGAACACAGCACCCCCAGGAGTGAACACAGCACCCCGGGAGTGAACACGCACCCCCAGGAGTGAACACAGCACCCCCAGGAGTGAACACAGCACCCCCAGGAGTGAACACAGCACCCCCAGGAGTGAACACAGCACCCCCAGGAGTGAACACAGCACCCCCAGGAGTGAACACAGCACCCCCAGGAGTGAACACAGCACCCCGGGAGTGAGCACAGCACCCCGGGAGTGAACACAGCACCCCGGGAGTGAACACAGCACCCCCAGGAGTGAACACAGCACCCCCAGGAGTGAACACAGCACCCCGGGAGTGAACACAACACCCCGGGAGTGAACACAGCACCCCGGGAGTGAGCACAGCACCCCGGGAGTGAGCACAGCACCCCGGGAGTGAACACGGGACACGGGGAGTGAACACAGCACCCCGGGAGTGAACACAGCACCCCCAGGAGTGAACACAGCACCCCGGGAGTGAACACAGCACCTCCAGGAGTGAACACAGCACCCCCAGGAGTGAACACAGCACCCCCAGGAGTGAACACAGCACCCCCAGGAGTGAACACAGCACCCCCAGGAGTGAACACAGCACCCCGGGAGTGAACACAGCACCCCGGGAGTGAACACAGCACCTCCAGGAGTGAACACAGCACCCCCAGGAGTGAACACAGCACCCCCAGGAGTGAACACAGCACCCCGGGAGTGAACACAGCACCCCCAGGAGTGAACACAGCACCCCCAGAAGTGAACACAGCACCCCCAGGAGTGAACACAGCACCCCAGGAGTGAACACAGCACCCCGGGAGTGAACACAGCACCTCCAGGAGTGAACACAGCACCCCGGGAGTGAACACAGCACCCCGGGAGTGAACACAGCACCCCGGGAGTGAACACAGCACCCCGGGAGTGAACACAGCACCCCGGGAGTGAACACAGCACCCCGGGAGTGAACACAGCACCCCGGGAGTGAACACAGCACCCCCAGGAGTGAACACAGCACCCCGGGAGTGAACACAGCACCCCGGGAGTGAACACAGCACCCCGGGAGTGAACACAGCACCCCGGGAGTGAGCACAACACCCCGGGAGTGAGCACAACACCCCGGGAGTGAACACAGCACCCCGGGAGTGAACACAGCACCTCCAGGAGTGAACACAGCACCCCCAGGAGTGAACACAGCACCCCCAGGAGTGAACACAGCACCTCCAGAGTGAACACAGCACCCCGGTAGTGAACACAGCACCCCGGGAGTGAACACAGCACCCCGGGAGTGAACACAGCACCCCCAGGATTGAACACAACACCCCGGAGTGAACACAGCACCCCGGGTGAACACAGCACCCCCAGGAGTGAACACAGCACCCCGGAGTGAACACAGCACCTCCAGGAGTGAACACAGCACCCCCAGATTGAACACAGCACCCCCAGGAGTGAACACAGCACCCCGGAGTGAACACAGCACCCCGGGAGTGAACACAGCACCTCCAGGAGTGAACACAGCACCCCCAGGATTGAACACAGCACCCCCAGATGAACACAGCACCCCGTGAGTGAACACAGCACCCCGGAGTGAAACACAGCACCTCCAGGAGTGAACACAGCACCCCGGGAGTGAACACAGCACCCCGGAGTGAACACAGCACCCCCTGGAGTGAACACAGCACCCCGGGAGTGAACACAGCACCCCGGGAGTGACACAGCACCCCGGGAGTGAACACAGCACCCGGGAGAGAACACAGCACCCCCAGGAGTGAACACAGCACCCCGGGAGTGAACACAGCACCCCGGGATGAACACAGCACCCCGGGAGTGAGCACAACACCCCGGGAGTGAGCACAACACCCCGGGAGTGAACACAGCACCCCGGGAGTGAACACAGCACCTCCAGGAGTGAACACAGCACCCCCAGGAGTGAACACAGCACCCCCAGGAGTGAACACAGCACCCCCAGGAGTGAACACAGCACCCCGGGAGTGAACACAGCACCCCCAGGAGTGAACACAACACCCCGGGAGTGAACACAGCACCCCGGGAGTGAACACAGCACCCCGGGAGTGAACACAGCACCCCGGGAGTGAACACAGCACCCCGGGAGTGAGCACAACACCCCGGGAGTGAACACAGCACCTCCAGGAGTGAACACAGCACCCCGGGAGTGAACACAGCACCCCAGGAGTGAACACAGCACCCCGGGAGTGAGCACAACACCCCGGGAGTGAACACAGCACCCCGGGAGTGAACACAGCACCCCGGGAGTGAGCACAACACCCCGGGAGTGAACACAGCACCCCGGGAGTGAGCACAACACCCCGGGAGTGAACACAGCACCCCCAGGAGTGAACAAAGTACCCCCCGGGAGTGAACACAGCACCCCCAGGAGTGAACACAGCACCCCGGGAGTGAACACAGCACCCCCAGGAGTGAACACAGCACCCCCAGGAGTGAACACAGCACCCCCAGGAGTGAACACAGCACCCCCAGGAGTGAACACAGCACCCCGAGAGTGAACACAGCACCCCGGGAGTGAACACAGCCCCCCCAGAAATGAACACAGCACACGGGTAGTGAAAGAATAGAATGAATTAGGAATTGTATAAAGGATACGATATAATCCAACAGATCAAGGAACAAACACATTAGGAAGATACAAGTTTAGACAAGACACAGGAGCTGAAGCTCGATCTCCGCAAGCACTAGTAGGTAAAGATAAATATAAACACACCCCCTCCAACGCCTCTTCCTACAACAAAACTCGGAAAATCCTGAATTCTAAAGGAAATTCCGGGAAATAAATATTCTTGGTACTAGTTTACCCTTGACCGCTCCTCCCCGTTCTCTGTGGTCCCCGGGCGAGGGTGGTCACATGTCTTGATGTTCACCCGGCGAGAGATAGTGAATATATCTAGTTTATCTCTCTAGATTGTGTGTGTGTGTGTGTGGTGTGTGTGTGTGTGTGTGTGTGTGTGTGTGTGTGTGTGTGTGTGTGTGTGTGTGTGTGTGTGTGTGTGTGTGTGTGTGTGTGTGTGTGTGTGTGTGTGTGTGTGTGTGTGTCTCATTTACTTCCCTTGCCTAGCAACAATTCTGTCCAATTAAATTCATTAAAGAATGAGGTAGGTGTGTGTGTGTGTGTGTGTGTGTGTGTGTGAGAGAGAGAGAGAGAGAGAGAGAGAGAGAGAGAGAGAGAGAGAGAGAGAGAGAGAGAGAGAGAGAGAGAGAGAGAGAGAGAGAGAGAGAGAGAGAGAGAGAGAGAGAGCTCAAACAGGTGTAAAAGTTCACACAAAGGAGAGGAAATGCTTCAATGTTTTTTTTCTGATTCACACATGAATTAATTATTTTCCAGAGGTTTTATTCCATTTGCTTTTCATTCCGTTTCTCTCAAGGTGTAAAATACTCGCGGGACTATTATGTAATTCCATATTTATATATGATCGCATTTGTAATTTGTAAATGTTGAAACAAAACTGACACAACTTCACCTAACCCAAATAGGTCGATTATTATTCCAAAGTGCTGCTTGCATTACGAAAAATTAGACCGATGCTGAATAATAATTTATGTTATTATTCAACTATGTAAATGTCGTGATATTTATAATGATAACTCTTGTGAAGAATCGTAAAAAAAATGCGTAATCAGCTGAGGCGATTATTGCTAGCTGGCCAAGTCGGATGGTTCATCATATATATATATATATATCATATATATATATATATATATATATATATATATATATATATATATATATATATATATATGAACGTGTTAAACCAATAACTATGAAAGTGTTAAACCTTTCCCTGCAAGATGACCAGTGGGACCAAGCAACGCTCCCAGTTAGACTTGGGGGTATAGGTATTCGCAAGGCGACACAGTTAGCATTGCCGGCATTCTTATCCTCGACCAGTGCTACAAGTGAATTAGTGAATGAAATACTACCAGAATAC